GCAGGACAGTGCACCCAGCAGGAGCCTCCAGCTAGATCTGATCGATATGGACATCAACGCGAGTGAAGTCTAATCGGACAGGAGAGAGAGATCAGAGATTTATTTTAATTACCTCTCAAACTACCTAAACTAGTTCTAAATATGTTTATTCTTACTGTCGGGTCACTCATTACTGGATCAGCCAGCTGCATGAGACGGATACTGACGGGCTGTCAGGAGAGGGGGAGGAAAAGAGAGAGTTTATTATTCTTATATTATTATATAGAGTCGTTATCAATTTGTTTTAAAGCTCAATAAATAACAAAGAAGACCTTTGACCGGCACCTTTCTAATTTTGTCTGGAAGATTTAAACTTTAACGGACATGTTGAACGGCGGAAAAAAACGAAGGGCAACCAGGCAACCATGGCAACCACGCTTGGGTGATCTTCTTCGCTGCTTTTGGTTTATTTTGTGGTGGAAGTACAGCGCCACTTACAGGCCCAGCATATGTACTACAGCCTCTCCAGTGGGTCGAGCGGTCTCGTGTGGACGGACACGTTTATTGAGCCGATTGCGTGTGAACGGAATACTTTTTTGATATCGAATTCGGTTCATTTTTGTTTCCGTCTCCGTATAAATGGGGCCTTAGTTGTACAGAAAACGAGCCATTAGGTAAAGCTGGATATCTGGCCCCTGCTAAGGCCCTTTAAACATGGTGTTGCATTAACCAGATTTCTACTAATGTGGCCAAAGAATGATTGTTACCTGCACAAAATAAAATATGAAACATGTCCAACATGGTCAATCTGTGGAAATCTTTAAATACCTTGGTACAGTTCTGGGCTCTCAGCTGTCTCAACGAATGCTCACAGTGAATTTACCTACTTAGGAAACTTTAATGGCCTCGTGGTAGTCAGCAGATTTTGAAAGTAGTGTACAAAAATGTTCAGCTTCCTGCCTGGTACGGTCACCTTAACTGTAGATCTAAGAATACACTTTCTAGGACTGTGGCAATGGCAAGCAAAACAGTAGCAAAGCCCAAAGCACTTGATTCAATTCTAAACAGAAAGGACGAGGAAGAAAGCGAGCATTATCCTGGCAGCTAGCCCCCGTCCACTCTTCAGCCAGTATGAGCCCTGAACACATAAATAAATGACAAATGAAATAGAAAAGAAATAGAAATGAGATCTTGAGCTCCAAGAGCCGATATAGATTCCTCTCTGGCAACTAAAAATGTATTTATGAAGTCCTTCATCCCAAGTGTCATCATTATTCTCGAGTCAACAAAGTGACAGAGCAGATTCAAGACACAGACATTGATAGAAACTGTATAAATGTGCAACCTTGTCTATGTGTTTGTTTTACTAACTGCTTCCTGGTGAGAAGAAGACCTATTTCAACCAATAGATACATTCTTATCTATTCTATATCCAATGGCTTCAAAATGGCAGTAATGTGGTATTATATTTGTAAAACTGTAACTAACCTGTACTATAAAAAGAACATTTTAGACATTTCACATGAAGTATTATTTTAAAAGCGTGACAAAGGTGTTTGGTATATTGAAAAGACGTCTTTAACAAACATCAAAGATACATTGTATTGCGAACATACATGACTTTCAGAGCAAAGGTATGAAAGGTGTGTAATATTTAGGTACCAACGCAGAGCTGAGATAACAAGGCACCATGCTCTACTGTATATTCAACGTCCTATCTGTTGTAATATAATGAACGATATGAATCAGTGCAGGGTTAATTACATACTTTGTAGAGATTAAGTAGAACTCGTGATTCATGATAGCGATCAACGCAAGGATATTAGGATTCTGACTAAAACCAAGGGGTACATCAGTCGATTTCCTAAAAGTGAGCCAAAGCCTCGAGGAGTTCAAGCATCTCCTAACTTTAGGGAGGACTGCCATCGGTTCATTAAGCCTCTATCCATTTCTAGTCATCTTCGCTACTCATAAATCATAGTACTCCTGGTATAATTGTACACTTGTTGAAACCACACCTTTTAACACTAAACATCTTCCGTAGCATGGTTGAGAAGAAAGTAACTGGCTAGGACTGACAGAAATGTGAGAAAATATCCAAAAGATGAAAATATCTAAAGTCATTGATCATTTTTGGATAGCTCAACTGACAGTCCGGGAATGTAATATATGACATTATAAAGCTGGACCGTCATGAGAGAAAATGGAACTTGATTTAACTAATATTTAAATATGGGGGTAAGAAATAAAGAGCATTCTCCTCATTACACCATACATATTTAAATAAGCAAAACATAGAGACAATATTGCAGGCTTGCCACCCTCAACAACATCTATGGCATTAGCCTAGCAGTTTCAGTGGATCCCAAATGTACAAAGTCTTCGCCCCTCCATTGGGAAACCCCCAGTTTGGCCCTCTAAATAACTACTTCCTGCGAAGATCCACAGGGGTTTATGTTCACACGTCAACGAGACAGGCTTTTGAAACCACACATGGATTACAGCCATCAATTAAGCAGGAAGAAAGGCCTTTATCTTGCTACCACTGCTAAATCCAAAATCACCCACCAGCCTTAGAGGGCTTCAAGGGGTCTTTCCAGCGTTGCCTTAATCTCCGTTTAGCTAAGGCTGTTTGCTACACCCACAGTGGGAGATGCTTCTATGGTTTCTCTAATAAGAGCTAGTGATCTTCTAAAACCAAATTGATTACACAAGCAGTCTCACGAGCCACGACTGCAATAGGAACAGACTTCCTTATTTCCCCATTAAGGGGTTTTACTTCAGGTCTGCCGGGACGTTTTGTAGGAGTTGGTTTTGTACAACTTGCCCCGTTCAACCTGATACAACACTTCACTGACCTGAGAATCCTAAAAACAACACAGAATGAAATATCGAACAGAAACTTCTGAAGAGCTCAATTTCTTGAAATCCATTCGTCTTAACTTTGTAGGAAAATAATACGTGATTGTGTAAATGCAGACATGTCAGTGATAAAGCTTTTTAAGGTTAAACCAAATGTGTCGCAGAGCAATAATCTTTTTTCCCCCACTTGAGACCACTTGGATAATCACAGAAAACTTGCTGCTTCAGCGGGTTCACATACTGAAAAATCCAATAATAACATCAAGAAACTATAAGCAATCAATTTTTCATTTCTTCAGATAAAACTCGGTCATGAAGTAACCCTTCTGGTTCACTGGATAGGAGGCCATCAGTTGTGTGAAAGAAAAGGCTGTGACATAAAAGGAAATTAATTCTTGACTCAAAATAAATTGGTAATTGTTCTGTACCTTAAAAAGAGTTGGATATTTCCACTGAATCCAGGTTAGCTGATGACAAGGGCACTAAAAGAAAATGCATGATTTTCTTTTCCAACATCCCAAATAAGTCAAAGTCTACGTGTCAATCCAAGTCAGCTTGGCACATTTTTGTGAGGACAGTCAAGATGAGAGGGGGAGCCAATGTTTTATTTAAGGTTACCAGTTTTTCTCTCACTCTGAACAGCCTTTTTCAGAAGGAAAACTAAAATAGTTCCATGATATCATACATCTGAGGGGAGTGACTTATGTAACAGGGTTTAAGAGAGGGCCATCCCAAATTGCGTGGTCTTTGGTGGAGAGGTCCAAACCAATGTCGGTTTCACACGTGGTGTGCACATACACACAGATCATGGGGCACGCTAACACACACCCCCTACCTTCGAATATCTCTGATACACACAAACTAAAGTAGCTTTTCTTTGTTAGTAGTATAAAAACTGTGGCTCAGGCAAGCTTCTCCCTCCCTTCTTGCCACAAGGTCACTGAGGCTCTCAGTAAAACAACTGTCTGGCCCCACTGAGAGATTTTGTTAGTATTTTAGATGAAACCCTAATATTTCGCAGGGGTGAGCTATTCTTACATTCTGTACACACAGCCGCTTATCACATTCTATTACAAATGAGTACAAAAGCTTTGCAGGAACTTATTTGGGCTTATTCTAGTCATAATCAAACTATGTGTCTGTTAATGTATGTAGGACAAGTGAGAGAGGGCCAATTTATAGAAAACACATGCGCTCACACTGTAAAAATATAAACATCTGTGAAAGTACTAAAAGCAGCGTTAGTTTGCTCTACATTAGGTGTCACCAGGACCACAATTTGCTAGGACGACACACCCACACTCTCACAAGGTGAAAACAATATCAGCATGGTGGCTGGTAACAACAAACACACTCTGGAGACTTAAGCACAGTGATGCTTATACAGTAGCTAAATGCTACATCAAATGTGTTTTTCTGCCATGATGATAGCTCAAGAAGAATAATCAGGGAATAACAATTCATCCTGAGGAAAACATGAAATTCCCTGCCAATTACATGGCAACCAGTTTAATGACAGTGGTTTTAGCCAAAAACAGATATGTCAACCTAATTGTGGAGCTAGAGAAAAAGTAAGTGGGTTAATACTAAGATTCATCATCTGGGAACCATGAATGTACCAAATTAAATGGTAATTCTTCCAGTAGTTCATGACGATTTGAGTCTAAAATGAGCTCAGTAAATTCACATTATACATTAAATAGACATTATGACTGCTTCTTGCGCAGTCTGTTATTCAGGCTCTTTGTAAGAAATAGCTGTTGTGAGTGAATGAGGTGAAGATGGTTTGTCTTTGGGAGCATGTTGTACCACATCCACAGACCTAGATACAGCCATTACAAACATCCACTGCTTAATGATTATTTGTATGTCTATACCTGCCTGATCTGGCATGGGCTTTCCTAGCCCAAGCAGTTTAAAGGAGAAATAAGGAAGATGCAAGAGTGTGTCTAATCACATTGACGGATCTAATAGCATTGATTGGTCCTAGCGGGACTGCTTCGCAATAGGACCTGCTTCTGCTAATTGTGTGGTTGGCCTTTGAATATTGAAGTGGCTATCATGGAGAGGCTGGATAAAAAAAAAAAATGAATGGTAGGTAAATATTAGCTCACT